CGCGGTCGGCATCCTCCTCATCCTCCTCCACCTCCTCACCATCCTCATCTCCATCTCCTCCTCCTCCACCGTCTCCTCCTCCTCCTCCCCCCGCTCCCACGCCGCCCACATGGCCGCCACCGTCATCGCGGCAATACTCCAGGGCGCCGTCGCGCTCCTCGTTTTCTCGAACACGGGTGCTTTCCTTAGAAGGATGAGGAGTTACGTGGAGGAGGAGGACGGGGTTGTTATATTGAGGATGGTTGGGGGTTTGGGGGTGGTCGTGTTCGTGGTTGAGTGGGTTGTTTTGGTGTTGGCTTTTGTGGTGAGGTTTTATGCGAATGTGGAGGTCGAAGAGGGGAAAAATGGGAGGGTGGAGAAATTGGGAAATGTGAGGAAAGATTGGCAACCATTTCAAGTGGTTTGAGGGGAAAAAAAAAATCTGGGCGGAATTTATTGTGATGTGCTGTTTAATCGTTGTTATCATTGTATTCGTTTGATTTTGATGGTTATATATAGCGTCTTAATTTAATGAAGTGATATTGTTGTTTCTCAAAGATGGGTCTCGATTGATTTTGTTATATAGGCTATATCTATATATGTGATTGATTCTTCTCGTTATAGTCCATCTATATAGTGATGAATAAAGATTTGCTACCAGAGGAGCAGCTGCCAAAGAAAACATTATATCTGAAATGTTTGTCAAATTAAGGGAAGAAATGCATGTTGATTCTTCAAAACAACCACAGGAGATGAGAGTTTCCTGCATAGGTACTAAACTAGTTATACCCTATTCCTCTCATGGTTATTATACACACCACAAATAGAGGGGGGAACATGAAAACAAAAACTTGGCAGCAGGAACTGTACTCAATTTACAAAGCTCCACTACTGCGTTGATGCTTCAGGAAGTCGTCGGCAACTCAGTTGCAGACCGAAAAGAGCCCCCCATCTTTCTTAGACACCGCTGCACTGAGTGCCATCATGAGCAATGACTTTAGTCTTCGAACATTGTTGGGGAGAAGATTCCGAGGCATCGACGGATTGCTTCTGTGGAGGTAGACACCGCTTTGAGAAAAAGGTTGTTATTCCTTTCGGCTTAGAAAGTTTCTCTGTCAAATTGACCATAATAAAAGGAAACTATCAGTTTCAACATAAAATAACTCGAAATGTTGCCTTTAGTTTGAAATACGTAGTTGGGTATCTGAATTCAGAATAGAACTCACCTGGAGAAGTCGATAAGCCAAGCCTGTCCAAAATCTCTTTCTTAACCTGCAAAAAGAAACCAAATTCAAGGCAAACTATATTGGTTAACTATAAAATGAGATTCAACGGCTAATTTAGGCAAACATTTTGGGTATGCATTCTTCCTAATAAAGAACATCTTCAAACCATAATAAAGAGAATAAGTAGGATACCTGCCACCGATTATCCACATAATCTGCTATCTCCTTTACTTTATTTCTCAATTGGGACTTTGGGGTGGTTGGAAATTTGCCTTGCAATGACTCTAATACCTTATTGATACCCTGTGAGTTTGACCTGATTGATAACACCTACAGGAAAGTTTTAGACATCCATTATGCTGAGGAATAAGTGGAACGTAAATAATTAATATGAGAGATATCAAAATAAAAATGGGTTCTGAGGACTGCAATGATAATATATCTATTTCTTCTCACTTACAATTTCTGGCAAATCCGAGTCTAAGATAGCTGAAGTAGAGGGAGTGGGTGTTGTATTATTTTTAGCCTGAGATTGTGGGACCTCCTGGTCTTCATTTTCTGGGTTGTAATCAACTGATAAATCTATTATGCAACCTCCAGGGCAGGCTCTCATGGAGAGAGCTTGCAGGCACATTTGCTCAATCTTACTTGTGCCATTTATATCTTCAACCGTCTTTGTTTCAGATTTTTCATGTGCTAGGTTTGATATGACTAAGGGATGAACCTTTCGGAGAGCTTGCTGTGTCAAATTTTGAAGGTATTTCTGCTGTTGCAGCAATACTCGGATCTCTTCACTTTCAACTGCTGACTGACCACTCTGTGAACTTCCAGTCTCACCATCTGTCCCGCCTGACTTGCCATCAACTTGAACACCCTGAGTCAAATAAGATGGATATTTGCATGAGTCATGTCTTCTATATACCCATTTAAAAAACTGTAACTTTGCTTGAAATGCCCTTTTTCACGTCAAAACCCCAAACGTATTCTTGACTAGAACTCGATTATAAATAAAGCGCAAAATATATCTGGGTTATTTTGCAACTAGGAAGTCACCATCAGGTTGCATGTTAGCTTAAAGCCAGGCACATCTTACGGCATACTTTCAAGGCAAAAGTACACTTAACAGGGACTTAAGGAAAAGAAGGTAAATTGCTTACGCATGGTCTTCGGTGGAATTAAATCATTTCATTGAATGAAGCACAAGGATTTTGAACGCAGCTAATATTGCCTTCTTTCAGTAGACTAGATTATTTCAATGAATAACAAAATTTTTTGAGAACTGTATATTCTGTATATAACCAACAGGTTTTGTAAAACATCTATAATAGAAATAGTGATCAATAGTTACCTCATTTTCAGAGAGATAACCATCTGGCACAAAGAAGCCATCTTCGCTTTCCTCTTCATCATCGAATTTCAATGTTTCTTCCTCTAGCCGTTCCTCGTCAACATCCTTGTCACAATCTGAGAGACTTTCACCTGGTTCCTCCTGCATAGTAGGAAAAGAGAAGTTGCTGATACAATACTCATCATTTGTATAATGACAACAAAGAATCAAGATAAATACCTCTTCCCATTCTTCATCACTGTCAACATCGTAGTTCAAATCTGGATCCATCTTAAGCGGGCGTCGTGGTCCAACAGCACAACTACAGTAATATTAAGAAACTTTAGCACCAATAGACCAACAAGTGATATTAAAACATAGTGATAGAGCGGATATTGTAAGAAAAAGGAGTACTTGCCTTTTCTTGCTCCACGTACCATAGTACGCCGGTCTATTGCTCTTGTCAAACTGCAACAGTTTCTTCCTCAATGACTGAAGTGAGGCAATATCAATATGATCATTTCCAAAAGATCTTTCTGACCCATCATCTCCGAGCTTATTTTGACCCACTTCCCTGGAGAAGTCCTTAGGAGAGGCAACTTCCTTGACTGGAGTTTCAGGTTTCCCAAGAGGATTTACTTCAATGGATGATTCATGCAGCTTAAGCTCCTTAAAAAGCTCAGCCCTAGGATTACGCCTAACACCCCAGTGGCAGGATCGATTGCAGCGAGACAACTTACGCCAGCCATCAACATGCAATTTACGAAGGTCCTCTGCATCAGAGCTGTCTTGCCTATAAAAAGTACTATCCATTAACGAGGTAGTTGCATTGACCACCTCCACCTTATTAGGTGAATCAGATATTGGGTCTTGCTTAGGTGATGGCTTTTCAATGCTATGTGAATTATCATTGCTCTTCTTTGTTTTAAGAAACCTCTCCATTATGGTAGCTTGCTTCTTTACGGAACGTTGCTTTTTCAGTTCTGCTTCTTCCCTTTCTCGCCGCCGCCTATCCCTCTCAGCTTCTTCTTGTTGCTTCTTAAGCTGTTTCTTAGATTCAGCTTCATCTTTCTCTCGCTGTTTGGCTTCTTTCTCAGCTTCTTCCTGCATCCGCTTAATCTCTTTTTCCTTAAAAGAAAAAAGAAAAAAGAATGATGTTTTGGTGGGAAGGGAATACACAATTAAGCCAGTAAGATTCCGGACAATTGCTTGAAAAAAGGGCGATAATAAAACAATAAGACCAACATGATACTAATATCGTCAACTAAGAACAGACGAACACTGACACGACACACCTACATGAAGCAAATTCTAAAACCTTACAACATAATGATAACTCTAAAGTACCACCTCAGATCCATATATCTTGGACAATATCACATCCCCAGCCCTACAAAACTATCAGTCTCTATGATCATGCATTTCTTACTCGGTATCCAAACCAATGGAGGAAGTGGTCAGTTGTCTCTACATTTTAGAGTCCACTCCCATTCAGATGCAAAAAAAACATAGAAATTTAATTTGTGAATAGGAATCCCTGTGCCCAAAATATACAGAATAGGACACTCAGTGTCCTACTTCTGTTCCACTGCTCACAAAAATTGCTATCTCACCCCGTGTAGCCACACGCACTGGAGTGACGCGAGAAGGATCCACTGGAACTACAGACGTGTGGATATATATTTTTTATCCATCACAGCCTTCTAAGCTCTCAGAAGCTTCATATGTACATGGTAATATTATTCAAAAAGAATTAATATCCACAAATGCACGCCTTTGAAGGGCCAGAACCGAAAGTGGTGAGGTTCCTACAATCTTCAAAAGAAAGTTTGGTACACAATTTCTCTCTGGAACATGAGCTACATGGTTTCCTAAGCCTTAAACTTGGCAGTAAAGGTCATGTGGGCTCAATTTTTACATAGTGTCGGAGATTATCTACGTTGTGGGTCCTACAATCTCTAAAAGAAATTGGAGCACAATATTTCTCTCTAGTACATGAGCTACATGGTTTCTTAAGGATTAAACTTGGCAGCAAATGTTATGGGCTCCAAAAACTTTTAAGTAGTGTCAGCCACTCGGCCACAGTATTTGATATGATCAGCTTAATCCAATGGGGAGAAAGCAATATCTGCCTGTGGTATTACATATAGGACAGCTTCAGTTCCAAAATAGCCAAATCGCATCATCTTAATCTAGAGATTTATATTTTCAGAGAATTGTTCCTTTGTTGTATAAGCTTAAACTGCATGACTAGACAATAGTGACTAAACTTCCTATCAGAACACCCTATTGTAGGGGCAATCTCTACCGTTCATGGGTCTTCAAAATGACCAAAACACCCTCTATTCTCCACATTAACTAGGATTCATACTCAACAATAGTAGTCCTCACCAACTACCTGATGCCTATTAAAATTTACAAAGTACTTAATGTGTTGCTATTAGAAAAATTTTCTAAATCTAAAATATATTATGAAATATATTCTTTAAAAGTTTCCAGAAAAATATAAAACAAGGAATGTACATCATGTTGCTGAATCTTAAGATGATTTTTATAATAGCTGTGCTTATTACTAACAACTTGCCCTCCTGTCCGATTTGGACTCAACATCTGTCCAAGATTTCTCTCCTGGACTTTCATCTCGATACACTTAAGCACTTCAAGTTCATGATTGCTCACAACTTAGGATGGGCACACTAGATGTTGCCTATAATATTACACATAGATCTCCCCAGTCTCCTTGCTGACCATCTCATAACCATCAAGATCTAAACTGCACAATAGTAGTTTTCATCAACTCGAACTCCAAGGGTATTAACTTTGCTCCTCAGATAACCATCTGACATATTATCAATTGCATGTAATAAAAATGTTCTCGATACGCCAGACTGGGGAACAAGGTTATCAAATCACACGAGGAGGCTGTGCTTAGAAATCTCCTACTTGGTTATCTTCAGGACAAATTATTGAAGCATATGTCTTGGGAGAATGAGTTGAACAGAAAAGTAAATGTTTTATCTTCGTTATGCGTTGTACGGAAGGAAATTTATGCAAAGCACCACAAGCAGATGAATAATGTCAATAGACTTGGAAGTATTATTTATCTATGTATCTATTTATTTATCATAATCATCATCATTTTTTATTTGGTTATTTAGATATTAGTCCCTCAAATCTTCAGTAATTCCATATTAGTCCATCAAATCTCAATAATTGCTCATAGTCCCTCAAATCCTAAGGAGCCTTGCAATTTGGTCCCTCAATGACTAGAATAGCCTTTAGTTATGATTTCCCTCTTAAAACTCATCCTCTTGAAAAGAAAAGGATTATTTGCACGTTAATACTCTAAAGTTTACACCTTTTAACTTTAATACCCAAAAGTTTTTGACACTTTGATGCCTTAAAAGTTTTTTTCCTGACACTTATGTTACTATAAAAGTTATCCTCACTTTGATACCCAAACTTTTATTTTTGACACTTTGATACCTCAAACTTGCGGGTATACCAAAATTAAAAAAAGTGTAAACATTGAGGTATCAAAGTCAAAAAATGAGCAATCTTTTTGGCATGAAAGTTAAAATAAAGTGTCAATTTTTGGGTATCAAAAGTGTCAAGAAAAGTTCGGGTATCAAAATGCAAAAGGTGCAAACTTTGGTGTATCAAATATTCAAAAAAATGGGGATATCAATGTGTAAAAAGGTGTAAATTTTAGAGTGCCAAATTGCAATAACCCTTCAAAAAAATTAGCTGAGGGTATTTTGATCATTGAGGGACCAAATGACAATAACACTAGGATTTGACAGGCTAATGAGCAATTTCATTGATTTAAGGGACTAATATGGAATTATTGAGTATTTGAGGGACTAATATCTAAATAGCCCTTTTTTCTTTTTATGGTTGTACACAATGACAACAAGTTCAATATCCTTGGGTATTCGAAAGTTTTTTTTTTTTTGAGATGGCAAGTTTATTTCACTGATTTCACTAAAGGGGACTGCAAGCAGGAAATGTTACCGAAAGAGTTTCACTTACGTAGTACAGTATAACCATGCAAAGAAGCTTATGGATTATGTCATACAAAGTAGTTTCCAGTATTCCAAAATTTTAAAAATTATCTCAGCATGAAATACCAATTTTTCTGAAAGTTATTACATTACCAGTATACACAGCTGGTGATGCCAAACACGACTTGTAAGATGTCACTGGTCTAATGGTGAATGCCAATGTGTCTTTGCACCTGAATGCTAAAAGTAATTTTCATGGGCCATCAAAAGATGCTCCTCAAATATTGGAAAATGTTTTGAGACAGTTGTCTTTTTACACAATATTGCATACCAATGATGCAAACACAACAAATTGATTTCTACAAATCAGGTACATGATCCATGGAACCTACTTTTAACAGGTGTGTCCCATAGCCAACATCATCTAACGAAAATGAGTAATATAAAAAACTATAAACTTTTAAAATAGTTCTATGTTAAGAAAGAAAAATACACAGCTATCAATTACGACAACAGCTAGAAAATCAACGTGATGCCTCAGGCATTGAACAACATAGCGAAAGAAATAACACTTAATACGGAAACAGTAGATTGAACTCCCAGATTAAAGAACATAATACCCAGGAATAAATCTATATAAATCAGATTGCAAATGAAAACATGTGCTTTACAGAAGTATTACCTTACCATAGACTCAAGAATTAGAAGCTCAATTAGGTGTTGTCATTTATATTTTGGAAGATTAACTAAATACAGACTTATAGCAGATCAACCAAATGAGCGTCAAAATCAATACCAAGTAATAAAACATTAGCACTTACTGTTTGCAATTTCTCCTTCTGAATCGCACGGATGGACTCTTTCTCCTTTAGTTTCGCTGTCTTGTCAGCCCTTTTGCAACATAAGCATATTATCATCAGCATTATTATACTACTTTAGACGGTAGGAAATAATGACAAAAATAACCGGCTCAGTATAAACAATAACTTAAAAAAGAAAAGGGAAAACATACATGCTGGTGTTACTTTTTTGTTTCTTCTTTTCAACTAGTGAGCGAATCTCCTCTAAATTTAATGCCTTCCCAAGCTTTATGGATGTTTTATTGAGAATACTTTTGTAACTAGCCTGATTTTCTGGAATTGCTAGTGCGGATAGGGTTGCTGCAAAATGAACAACAGTATAAATACCTCCTGCTGCAACTAATAAATAAACAAAAAAGAGTCTCGCGCTAAAAAATCAAGAATAACAGACGGCAGCCAAAGACGTCTTTCTAAAACATTTCATGAATCCATTAATATTTCCTAGTGAAGTGTCATGCCGCAATATGATAAGCAAACTATAAAAGAAATGGCAGCATGATGTTCCTGCATATTGCCAGTAACAAGGCAGGGTGACAATTAAGGCTGAAGAGAGACAAAGATAACAAGTAATTAAAGCAGTCAGTAGCTAAATAAAGGAAACCAAACTACCGAAAAGAGTGCAAGATATTTGTGGCATTAAGGATAGCAATATTCTAGGAACAAATTTGCAACTACTAAAAAATACCAATTGCAGTAGTATATGTTTATAAATGGCGTAAATTTTCTAGTGCCAGTGAACTTCTAATGCTTCCCAAAAACTGCATTCTTGACTCTGGTAGATCATGCTGGAAACAAAAGAAGTTCTGTGATGGTCTGGACGTACATTTTACTACCTTCTTTGTCATACAATGTTGATGAATATGCTTAAATCTGCAAACTACATTTCATTAAAAAATCATTGAAGTGTTCACAAAAATAAAAAAGGCAGCGCTCTACAAGATATCGCTAACTGAAAAAAAATGTGAACTGATATCTTCGTTTAATATAGAATTGTGCAAGTCTTCTGAGATTGATTAATAGCGCAACTAAGGCAATAATCAACTAGCATTAAAACTCAATGTGACTTACCTGAAAGAGCAGAAATTCTCTCATGTATTTTCTTTCGACCTATACGCCGAACATTTAAATCCGCACGCTGATTTGGAGGTATCAACTTAATGTCTTTTGTCTGCACGCCAAATATTAAAAATGAATATCGCCAAACCTAGCGAACGACAAAGAAAATTACAATAACAAAAGGCAAAATTTTACCTCCCAGCACCATAGACAAACCGCAGATTCATCCTCCAATACATCAGCTTCTACATTCGTGATCCCGTACGAGATTCTATGTGCAACAGACAGAACCGTACTACGCACATAAGCCAAAGAAACACCCTCTTTTCCCTTTAACTTTTCAAATATCACCTCCACCAATTTAGAAAATGCAAGATTGCTCTCCTCCAGCAAGCAAGCCACCAATGAATTGTTTGAAGAACACAAACCCTCCTCCAAAGTCAGGACTCTAGCTGACAACTCCTTGTAATACTCAAACAAGCTATCTAGCTCTCTACGGCATTCAGTAACCAGAGTCCCCTTGTCAGTAGAGAGCACATTGACATCTATGGAAGCCCTCTTTCTCTTTGCTTGTTTCCCTACCCCCTTCTCATTACTCTTGGTAACTCCTTGGGATTGTTTCAATGCCCCAACAAGTGAATTATCAACAGTAATCTCATGATTTCTGTTTGATCCCGCTAATTTGGATCCCTCTACAATCATCGTGTTATCGTCAACTTTAGGCTGGTCCTCTGTCCCCTCAACACAATCTTTTTTGCATTCTTCTGAATCATCACGAACCATTTTGTCATCACTGACCTTAGATCGATTCAAGTCCTCCACTTGGACTACTAATACACTCTCGTCTCCCATGCTATTCCCAAAATCCCCAAAAAAAATAAATAAGAAAAAGAACGAACTTTACAGTGAGACAAGTCCACAAATTGCAATTCTAGGGTTTCAGCTCAATCCACAACTAAAATCTACTACTTCGGAATCACAGCTAACTTCAATCAACAACAGAAAACACCAAAGTAACAACACATCAAAATATTACTAGGGTTTCCAACAATCAAGAACCCATCTTTCCACTGTCCTCTTCTCCTCTCACTTGAAGCACCGGTCTCTGCATCAAACAAAACAAATATAGGGTCGAATACAGATCTTGAAGGGCAAAAAAAAAAAAAAAAATTTAAAGGTCGTTTTCACTTCAAAAATCCCGAAAAATAACACTCCTATTCCCCCAGCTCCCGCGGCGAAATCAAGAAAACAAACAGAGACGAGAGAATTGGAGTCATTACCTCAAGATCCAATCGAAAAATCGATACGAATCGAGTGCGAGGCTTCAAATGGGGACTTTTTTAGCCTTTATTATTTTTGCCCCCCCAAGTCCCCTAATAACCCTTTCCCCCTATTTTCAGACTTCAAGTACGCGAGCAACGAGGGAGAAAAGAAAAAAAAAATTATGTCTAATTAATAGGATGGGCTTAAAAGTCGAGCGAGTCGCCGTGTCATCCGACGGTGGAGATCGAATCATCGATCTTTCGTGGCGCGGAATTAAAAAAGGTTCCCGCCAAGTGTAATTGAGTTTGGAGGGTTTGGACACGAGTCGACTCTTTTTAGGAAAAAAAAAAGCTGTAGGGGCGCCAAAACGCCCCGCGAGGTCAAAGGATCTAATTTCATGTAGACCCCGAGTTTTCGTTCGTTTGAATGATTTGGCCACTTTTTAGCGGGCTGTACTTTTCATTGAGGCCCCCGACATTTAATTATTTTTTTGAAAAATCGCTCTAATTTAGGAAAGAGATGTTTGGATGCCATGGTGACTTTTGTGTTGCGTTTTCAAAAGAGCTTTGCTACGGAGACCCAAAATATGGGACCAATAAAAAGGACAAGTGAGGTGTCCATTTCTTATTGGATAATGAGTTGGCCATCATTAATGATGGTCAACTCATTATCCAATAGGAGGGGGATACCTCACTTGTCCTCTCTATTGGTCTCATATTTTGGGTCCTTGAGGAATTTTTCACTTTGTTTTTCTCCAAAAGTACTCTCAAAACTTCTTGGTAAGTGTTTTTGGTCAACAATAGTTTGACCATTTATACCATTAAAGATATTAGTAATATATATTAATATATTAATTTTAACTATAATACAATCTATTAGTATAATGTTATATATATATAATTAACATATTTTAATATTGTATATAGCTAACAGATTATAATGTTATATACTGCACATATTTGTGATATATATTATATAAAAATAAATAATTATTATTTTCAAATATTAAGACATTAAATTATTTTTATATAAATATGTTATTGTTATTAATACAATGTATTCACATTTTCCTTTTATAAAATAGTATAATATAATATTGTTTTGTTATGATATTAGTACTATTATGTTAATATTTGTTATAGTATATGTAATTTATCATTAATAGGTTATTTGCTTTATAATATATAGTTATTTTTTCATGAATTTATAATATAACATATTATGAATATATTAATATTTAATCTTTTATTCTTAGAGGTGTTACTATTTTATTATTAAATTCTATCATGACATAACACATTAACTTTTTTAAATATATTATATAATATATATTATTTAAATATTAATGATATATTTTATTAATTAAATGATATAATATAATAGTTTTTTGTTATGTAATTCGATATTATGTCATTATTATAGGATTATTTATTAATGATATATTGTTATCTGTTGTAATCTTGTTGTTATATCTACATACATCACATATCATAAGTAAGAATCGAACATGAAATGTAAGAGTAAATAAATAGAGAAAGTGATCATCTCATTTTATTCATCTTCTATTTCTCCATTATCCATTTTGTCTTCCATGGCTTACATTATATAGATGTGGAAGAGAATACTAAAAGTCACAAGTAAGTGAAGAGACTTCTTCTAGTAATGTTCACATTTATTTCATTTATATTTATAACACTCCCTCTTGGACATTACTACATGATGTCAATGCCTCGTTAAAAACCTCGCTAGAAAAAACCCAGTGGGAAAAACTAGTCGAGGAAAGGAGTACATGACATACATACATTATTTCTTTTACATCAGTTGTCTCGTTAAAAACCTTTCGCTAAGAAAAACCATGTAGGACAAAAACTTAGCAAAAGAAAAAAGAGTACAACTATAGATCTTCGGGATCCAAACTTGTGTTGTATTAGCTGCCTCGTTAAAAACCTTTGGCTAAGAAAACCCAGTGGGACAAAAACTTAGCTAAGGAAAAAAGAGTACAGCCACCGCCTTCGGGGTTTGATCTTCAGGATTATTCTAAAAAATAATTCGCTCCCCCTCAAGACAACAAATATTCAAGTGTATGCATACCGTGGTGGCCAATCACTAAAATTAAAAGTTGATGTATTAAGGGATTTGGTGATCAAATCGTCTAGATTGTCACTACTTAAAGCAAACTTATCTATGTTAATTTCATTGTTATTTTCGAGCGCAAGTGGATAAAATTTTTTCACATCTCATTTATGCAACACAAGTTACATTGTCCTTAGAAAAGACAGCGGGGGTAATATCCTCGTTTAATATGCCACACGATCATCGAATGTGTTTTATCAGCGATTTGAACCTTACACGTTCGCATGGGGCACATATAAAGGAACAATCTCTGAGTGGTTTCAACTAGTAAAAACATTGTCTGCTTAATAGACCTCCAAGAAATAATAGTACCACTACAGAGAAAAACATAACCAGTCAGAGATTTGACAATATGGGGATCAGTCGTATAACCAACATCAGAACAGCCTACTAATGTCATATTTCGATTCCTTTTATAGAATAAACAAAGATCTCTTGAAGATACCAGATGATATATTTAACATTGTTTCAATATCTCCTTTTCAGGAGATGCACTAATTCTTGCTAGCAAGTGTAACACAAATGCAATATCAGGTATGGTATAATTTGTAAGATAAATAAGTGCTTCAATAGCGCACTCAAATACGAGACTTTGGGTCCTAAAATATCTTCGTTATCTTCTTTAGGTTTGTATGGGTCTTTATCCACTTCAAGGGATTTAACAACCATTGGTGTGCTAAGTTCATGAGATTTATTCATTTAAAAACTCTCCATGACCTTCTTCAGGTAGGTTGACTGGTATACCAATATTTCTTTAGGAACATGCTCGATCTGTAGGTCGAGACAATACTTGGTTTTTCCTAAGTTTTTTCGTTTCAAACTCCGTCTTTAGGCATGAGCTAGCTTCTGTGAGCTCCTTGTGCGTTCCAATAACATTTATATCATCAATATAGACTGAGATAATACAGAAGATATTTTCGAATTTCTTTATAAACACACAAAGGCCGACATCATTATTTGCATATCTCCTCTTCAGGAGGAACTCACTCAGTCGGTTATACCACATTTTACCCGACTGTTTCAAGTCATATAACGACCTTTGCAATTTAATGCTATACATGTTGCGGTTCTCGTTTTCTCTTAATTCAGGAATTTTAAGTCCATCAGGGACTTTCATATAAAAATATTAGCATCTAATGACACATAAAAAAATATGGTCATGACGTACATATACTGCATATATAAATTCATAGTTTCTGTCATAGGTATTAACTTGTAGAACGTAATACAATTACTAATAGAAGAATATTTTACATCTAAATCGATGTCGGGTCTCTGCGTGAACCCATTGAGCTATGAATCTTGCTTTATATCTCACCACCTTATAATTCTCATTTCTTTTTCTTTCTCATTTATTTTTCTTACGAAGACCCATTTATATCCTGCAGGGATATATGAACTACATGTTCAAAATACTTTAGCGAGTTCAGCTCAGGCGCAATTGCCACTTTCCATCTCACCTAGCCCGAGTGCTTCAATCACCCTGCTACCGACTTAGGTTCTGGATCCAGATTATTTTTGGAGATAGTAAGAGCAACTGTAGAGGCAACTATGTTGTCGACAACTTTTATATTTCTATTAAATATTTCTATTATATATTTCTCATTTTTCACAAATTCGTGGCCACTTTAATTTTTATTTTATGTCAACCAAATCCTTGTCATTTCCCTTAACAATTGGATTTGGCCGTTTTGCATCTCCAATATTATGATTATCAAATGCACATGCAATTTACTGGAGATTTCGTCTTCAGGATAAGGCTCTTCCGGAGGTTATGGGAGTGACTATCTTTCTATATTAGATTTGGTGTGTCGCGAACTTTTATATATCTTTTTCATTAACAAGTTTCCTATGCTTCTGGTGCAATACGCTTCTGGCGTACCAAATCATCAATGATTTACTTAACATGAATATAGGGCTTAGTCACTCTTTTCTTAGCAGATTATCATGTGAACTTCTGGTTCGGTTTGACTAGTACGTAGATATAAATATTGAAGATCTTTTTCATCAATGGAATTTCTTGACATTATTTTGTATTTTGGGCACTAATCTCCCTCTAATGTCGAGAATTGATCTTCAATAAAAATATAGTCAGCATACCAAATTATAAATTGATCCCCGAACATGGGCCTTAGGTACTAAATTATTGACGGAGTTTCATAAATAATGCATGTACCTTCACCAAGGTCCCATAGAGGTACGCTATGGTGATGATATAGAAACATGGACTGCAAATAAAGAATACGCAGATGGGAAATGTTTCGCTTCTTCACCACGTATTAGATAAATGGAGAAAATTATGATATGCAGTTGGTCAGATTTGGTTTAAATGCCCCATTTAATTTAAGAAAATCCGACAAATCATATTTTTCCCAAGATGACCCAATAGCTCATGCCAGAATTTAAAAGAATTTGTGTCCCTAAATCTCAAAAATTATCGCAACATGGTGTATTTAGGTCAGACAAATTCTAAAGTGTATAAATAAAAATCACATAGGTTCACAAGAGTTTAAAGCAAATTCAAGTTAAATCAAAATTGTTTGACAAATGTATATAATCCAAATATAGAAAAACCAAATAGTTTACCTTGACCATCTCGATAAGATCCACTTCAATGTCCACTACCTCCCCCTCGTCCAAGATTATGAATATTAGTTTGAATTATGATATGTGCTTCAGGCACTACGACTGAACCAATTAAACTTGCATTATGGTTTCTCACAAGAATTATGATATGTGCTTCAGGCACTACGACTGAACCAATTAAACTTGCATTATGGTTTCTCACAACAGATGGTTGTGTTTTTAACAACTACTAATGCAAGGATTAGTTCATAATGCTTTTAGTTGTACTATTGTAAGAGTACAAGGTTACTTATTGAATTATATTCAGTCGAGGGTTTTCAATCCAAAAATAGCTACATGATAAGATCTCCTACTATGTTCATAGCTCCTCCTTGTCCACACGTATAAGAATTTTTTTGAATTGTAGCATGTGCTACAAACACAACTCGTAAGCCAACTAATCTGACATTGTGA